CCACTGTGTGAGCATGAATAGACTTTGTCAATTTTTGTGTGAGCATGGGTGGACCTGTAAGCCTTTGTGTAAGTATGGATGGACTCCATCACTAATTGTGTGAGTAGGAGTGAACTCCATTAGTCTTTGTTGAGCATAAGTAAGACTTTGTAAATTTCTATGTGAGTATGATTTTTAACTTTGTGTGAGTGAATGACTAATAACATCATGGTGAGTGACATCGCTAGTAATTAACCATGTATGGGTTAAGATATCTAACAAGCTTTATGAAGCGAGTGGCTAGGAGCTCTACATGAACAAACAATAAATAGTTATGTGTGAGGTATTAATTGAAACTTTGTGAGAGAGTAACAATTTGTAGTTTCATACAAGTGTTGTTTTGTGTGAACCTGTGATTTCAGGAGTTTGAGTTTTATGTTGAGATATTGTTTGTTATTGTGTTTGTAATATTGTGGTGATGTAATTATGTGTGATGTAAATTTTCAAACGAAAGGTCATGTGTTGTTTATATTAGCTCATCCTTTTGTTTTGTGGTTGTGGTTTTTCACCTATGATGATAATGATTTATCATGGGAGAAAATGAAAGTACAAATGTTGGGGAAATACATAGTAGAGATGAGAGTGTTAGGAACAGTTGTATAAGCAATTGTCTTTAGTCATTTTTTATTTTCAAAGAAATAAGTTAATTTCATTTGTTATTTTTGGTAATTATATATTTTTGGAACAATGAGACATGTATTTTATTAATACTTGATTAATACAATTGTTTTTTGTTTATGCTAAACATTGGTATCAAGGTTTTAAGTTATATTTGTTTTCAATATAAGTGTGAGATAATAAGAGTTTTAGTATCATCCTAGTCGAGGTGTTACATTAACAACTTAACATAATAGATTAAATGTAAAAAAAAAAACATTTTTAATCAATGTTTTGAACCTTTGACTCAAACTTTAAGTAACCTTTTCAAACATTACAAAATTCAATCTTAAGCATTTATAGTGACAAAACTTAGCCATTTTCACATTGTTTCAAGAGTTCATTGAATAATAATTCAAGAAATTTTTCAACTCTCTTAATTTTCTCAAAGAATTCAAAAGGTTGTGTTTTAGTGCTTAAACTTCACTTGTGGTTGACTATGATATGTACATGGTAACTTCTTTTCATTTCCAGGTTGTTAGGTTGACCCCACATTATTTCCTCTTGAGTTTTCAAGGGTTTAAATGATGTCCTCTTCAAGTTTATCAAGAAGTATTTGTTGTATTCCTCTTGGTGTGATCTAGAACATTTCCTCCTTGAGTGTGTTAAGGAGTTGATTTACTTGTCCGTATATCTTATATATGCCTTACATATGTTAAGTTCTTGTAATTGACATATATATAAAGATATTGAATTTTAGTTGTTCTAAGGTTGAAAAGCTAAACTAGGTACATAATTTATTTTTATCCTCACTATTATTAATCTTTGTGTAATATTTCACATCCTTTCTTAATATTTGCATATTATTCTTCTTGTTTTTGTATTTTTGTGTACAATCTTTATCATATTGATTCTTTGATTATTTGCATTAATTTTTTTTGTTAAATTTTATTTCAAAAGAGTTTAAAAATTGTTAATATTTTCAAAACAAAGTTTTAAAATATCAAATTCATTAGTACAAAAATTGCGTACAACGTCGAATATTTTGGACTTTTAATAGCGAATTCGCGAACGACGTCATATCAGGAGACGTTAAATTTATGTCGAATTTAAAAAATTCGATGTTAATCAATTTTTTTGTTTTTTTAATTAATTGTGATCCTTTTTGACAACTCTACGAGACCTGTAAAGCAAAAAAAACAACAAATTTCACTTTTTGGTATTTTATAAAGCATGAACTATGAACGTGTAGCGTAGTATCAACAGCAAACAATAATAACCAACAACAAATAAGTTAAATCAAACAACAACAACAAACAAGTTCAACTAAATAACAACAACAAACAAGTTCAACAAATAAGTTCTTCAAAACGAAAATGAAAACTAACCTTCAAAAGGTGGGTTCGTCGGAATAAAGTTTTGTCACAGTGAGAGGGAAAGCAGAATGCGCCTATGAAAGACAAGAGCACGAAAATAATCGGTTAAAACAAAAAAAAATCATACATAAAGTAATTAATTAATATGCATTTGTATCAAATGAAAGAAAGATTACATGTGATTTTCGTCAAACTTCGTTCAAGAAAAGTTTGAGAAGAGAAGAAGGTATCGCGCGCTAAAATAAAGTGAATGAATTTTCAATCTCCTACTCAAATTTTTATTGAACCCACTAACTTTTTGATGTTGAATTTAAAAGTCATTCGACGTTTTATATCCTTTTACATCGAATTACAATTCTAAACGACGTTTAATAATTGCATTTATTTACAAAAATGTCACCGCTCATTTTTAACGTTGGTTATTCAGTGGTTGGACGTTGAACGCGTGATGTTATACGCTGTTTTTGTACTAGTGATTGTCTCCCTCTTTGTTTAGCTTAGCCTCAATTTCTTTTCTAACACAAATCTTCATGTTAAGTTTTGTCTTGTTTCTTCTTTGTCTAACTGATCACATAATGGTAACGTCTAGATAGTATAACCCACTGAAGATCGATAATGGACGTCATTTATTATCGTCTAATAAACATCATCTATCTTCTAAAGCATTAATGCATATTAGGTTGATGTTAGATTATTATTTTATTAGTTTGTTAGTTTTTTTTATCCTGTTGTATAATTATTACGAATATAACTACTTTGTAATTATTCTATTACATATATATATATATATATATATATATATATATATATATATATATATTCAAATAAAACTAACTTAGAAGAGTGAGGATTAACATGTGTATTTAATGTATTGTTGATCACCCTTGTAATTCGTTTATCTTATTTAAGCATTTGCATTTTTTTTTAACATTGTGTGTGATCTTGTATGTGTTTATCAATAACATTATGTTTGATCTTACATATACTCACGAAATTTGATAGAACTATAAATATTGGTATGCTTGGAAAAGATAATCAAGGGTTCTAAGCTATTAAAGAAAGCTAATTGGATTTTACTTTAAAAAGTTAATCAAAGGGTTTTAAGCTATCAAAGAAAGCTAGTTAGATTTTAGGAAGACAAAGATTTGGAGAATGAGAGGTGATAGTTGGTGATACAATGGTATAATGGTATTTATGGGTGATGTGGTAAATATTGGTGGATGAATGACTATTTTAGGAAGAGGTAAAATAGAGTGTAAATCTAGGGATGTTTGGTGAGTAAATTGGTGGATAAGTGGTTATTGGGTGGTTTGATTCTCATATTGGAAAGAAGAATATTGACAACATTTTGAAGGATTTTTTACTTGATCTCCAAAGTAGAATGATTCACATTGATGAATTATTGGAGAGTCATACAACGATTATCTTGTGTGGCAATCACAATATCAAACTGGAATGGGAGGTTGACTAACTTTTCAAGGATAACCTCTAAAGTTTTCTTAATATCTTTGTTTGGTTTAGGAGGCACGAAAGTAGGTCAATGAAAATACAAAATTGATAAGTTATTGAAAATAAGAAAAGGGAAGAAGAAAAAGAAACTTTTTTTTCTCTCTTTTCATTTAAATATTGTTATTATATTGACAATCCATACTAAAAGATTATTTCTAGTGTGACATCTGTTCAACATTCTAACATAATTATTTTTCTAAGACAAAATAACAACTATCATATATCAAGTCAAACAAAATATTTGAGTCATTTAAATTTGATAATGCTTTGAAGGGACATAAAGTAAAGTAATCAATTATCAATCTTTCATCAAATAATTATTAAAAACTATATATTTATTAAACAAATCTTTGTTGTAATGTTTAAACAAAATTTCATTATGGTGAAAAAAAAAGGTAAATATAATTGTGAAAGAAAAACATGACATACATGTTTTCCTAAGGTCAATTTGGTTAATAAAATAAATAAAAAAATTGTTTTTGGAAGTTATTTGGTAAAAGTGAAAATGAAAATAGGTAACTTAATATGTATATGTGACAGAAAAAAGTTTACAAACAAAATAACATGAATGTATGATTTATATAATAAAATATGAAATGTACAGCAACAAAATTATTTTAATTATTTAATATATATGACTACAGTTTTCTCTATTCTTCTTCTGAACTTATGAAGAAAACTAATAATGTGAGTGACACATGTTCTTGATTTAGTCGTTGTTCCACACTTTTATAAGGAAACTAGATCGATAAAAGAAAAATATTTATATCTTTGACGATCATTTCTTTCCCCCATTTTTTCTTTACAAAGTTTACATAAAATATTGCTATATCACAAATAACGTTAGTGTTATTTTCTAACTAAATTTGTAGTTTTATTTTAATTTTATATTTTATTAGATGGAAGTGAACTCTAAATGTGATTAGAGATCAAAATCGATAATATTTAAGCCATATATGTAGTTTTTCTTTTTCTTTTCTTTGAATTGATATCAAGAATAAAATGCGAAATGCTTTTTTTAAGTTATTTTTATTTGGGTAAATAATGTATGTACTATTAATATAATATTTGACCAAACACACATTAATTTAAAGAAAACATATTTGTAACTTTTGACAAGTTCACTTACTGAGAAAATTTTATCAAAGTTACTTTATAAATTAGTAAAATTAATTTATAAGTTTCTGAAATATTTGATCAACTACATTATTTATAAATGCTTAAGAAAAATCTATCCAAACAAAATTTTAATATCAGTATTAATTATTAATTTTGTTGATGAATATTTATAAGTTATATTGAAATGATTTGTCAAATACACTCATATATATATATATATATATATATATATATATATATATATGTTTAGGAAAAGATTATCCGACAAAATTTGAATAACTATTTATTAATTAATAATTTTGTGAATGAATAGTTAAAAAGGAAGTTTAAGGATTGTAATTACGACAGCGCCACCGATTAAAGAAAAGGTGGCCTCGTTGATTTCTCTCCGACAGTAGAATTCGAAAAGAGAGAGAGAGAGGACTAATTCAACCATTTTCAGTGATTCACGGTCGCACCTGCTTGTAGTTATAGTGAGAGAGAGAGAGAGAGAGAGAGAGAGAGAGAGAGAGAGAGAGAATACCAGAACAGAAAACCGCGCAAAAACTAATGGCGAGTTTTAGGGTTTTGTGAACCTACTGCGATGGAAATGCCTGCTAGAAGATCCAACTACTCGCTCCTCAGCCAAATTCCTGACGACCAGTTCTCCGGCGCCTCCGCACCGTCCTCCTCCGGCGACGGAAAGACAGGCCGCGCCGGCAAGTCGGACCGCGTCTTCGACTGGGACCTCGTCTCCGATCACAGGGCGGCTCAGCAGGGGGCCAACCGGATCGGAAACCTGTACTCCTCGATCGGCCTGCAGAGGCAGTCCAGCGGGAGCAGCTACGGCGAGAGTTCGCTATCCGGCTGCGGCGACTTCTATGCTCCGACGCTGTCCACGGCGGCGGCCAGTGACGCTGACGCCTTTGGCTACCTCCACGACGATAGGAGCAAGTTTTCTGAGGCCCCGGCGAGGATCGCGGGCTCCTCCGGGAAGAGCTGGGCGCAGCAGACGGAGGAAAGCTACCAGCTGCAGCTCGCGCTCGCGCTGCGTCTCTCGTCGGACGCCACGTGCGCGGATGATCCCAATTTCCTCGATCCGATGCCTGACGATGGGGCCTTGCGGCTCTCGTCATCGGCGGACGCGGTTTCGCATAGGTTTTGGGTACGTTGATCCTTGTGCCTCTCTGTTTTCACTTGGATTAGATTGTGGTTGGGAATTCCGGTGATGGATTTCGCGTGAGGTGTTATTGAATAGTGTAAAGGTGTGAGTGGGCATGGGTCTATTTTTGTTACTGATAAACCTTATTAACTGCATTGTAACGTAGCAAGAGGTGAAGCTGCAGTGGTTCTATTATTGATGTGATTCTTCTGCAAATTGTTGAGTTTCTATTATGTAGGTTTTGTAGTCTGCGCCAGCTGGAGTATCAATCAAATTGTAGTTGATGGTTGCAAACTTTAGAAGTTCATTCAGACTGCTGGTCCTTTTCCATGAGTGACTGGAGGAGTTGTAAAATTGTAGTTTGAATGGAAGGAAGGGAATTGCATTAGTACATAACTGTTTGAAGTTAAATGGAGTGGAAGGAAAAGTTACTTACTGAAAGTTTGAATAAAATAGTCAGTAAAAGAAATTAGTTAGATATGAGCAGGAGTAATTAAGGGGAAAGGAGGATATATCTTGTATCTGCTGTAGATGAGCTTATGCTCTTTGTTAAGGGGAAACCCTTTTAGCAAAGATGTTTCTCCTATTTTCTTTCTTTTTATTCCTTTTAATTCCTAACAAAAATCTTCTTAAGAAGTTATGTTTTCTTTGTCTCAAAGGACATAGTTGGATTTTGAATTATAGTGTTGAAGTCTAATGGGTATCAGGCTCCTCTATGTTTTTCTCTTCTACCCTTCCTCTCTGGCATCTGCCCCTTGGGGGAAACTGTTTGACAATTGCTGTGAATTTTGGGCTGGGTATCCTCTTATTGTGTGGCTATCATATTGTTCCTTCTTGAGTTATTTTTCTTGTTGTTGCACTGCATAAAAATTCAATATTGAAAAATGTAATGTTTTAAGGAGCTTCAGAATTTTAAATTATATATCGGCTCCATTGTGGTGGAGCAGAGGGTAATCGTTCATTCTCGAAAAATTGACACTAAGTAGTACTATTGTAATTTCTCAGAGATGAAGTTGAAACCTGATTCTTAGGTTATATGAATTAAGTTTAAGAAGAAAAATTTCTCTCCACTCTTTATTCTACTTTTGTTTTCCTTTAAAAAAATTCTCTAGTTTTTCCTAGAAAGTTGAGCAAGGGAACTGGAAGTTTTTCATTTTGACAGACTTGTTGCACTTGTTGATATTTTGTAGACATTCAATTGTTGATTTTGTCTTATTATCAACATGCACCAGGTGAAGGGCTGCCTGTCATATTCTGACAAAATTCCAGATGGCTTTTACTTAATTCACGGGATGGATTCTTTTGTCTGGACTTTATGCACTGATCTGCATGAAAATGGTCGAATTCCTTCAGTTGATATGCTGAAGTCTGTGAATCCCTGCATTGTTTCTTCACTTGAAGTAGTTTTGGTAGATCAACGCAGTGACCCCAGCTTAAGAGATCTGCAAAATAGAGCTCATAACATTTCTTGTAGCAGCATAACAACATCAGATGTTGTAGATCAGCTCTCCAAGCTGGTTTGCAACCGTATGGGGTGAGCCTCCTTGACATTCATGGCTTGACCTATTTAACTTTTTTACTGGTCATGTCAGTCTAACTGTGTTTTATTGCTGTAACAAGGGGATCAGCTTCTGTTGGGGAAGATAACCTTGTTTCCATCTGGAGTGATTGCAGTAATGATCTTAAAGATTGTTTGGGATCTGTTGTTATTCCTATAGGTAGTCTATCTGTCGGCCTTTGCAGGCATCGTGCTATATTATTCAAAGTAAGGCTCCACTTTCCTTTGGAGTTAAGGCCGTGATTGTGCATGATGACTTTTTTATTTTATTTTTATTTTATCTATTTTAGTGCATGCAATTGTATTTCATTTGTTTTTTAAATGACCTGCTTTATACTCAATATTTTCAGGTACTAGCTGATGCGATCGATTTGCCATGTCGAATTGCAAAGGGCTGTAAATATTGCAAAAGGGATGATGCCTCATCTTGTCTTGTACGATTTGGGCTGGACAGGTATGTGCTCTATTGCCAATCACGTATTTTTCTGTTTATGAGTAGAGCTGCAGTGTGAAAACTAGTTTCCATGAGTTATGATGACCATGGAAAAGGACATTATTTAAATGGTTAACGTTATGTGTGCATTGTATAAATTAACATTTTAAATATGTTTCTTAAAAGCAATATTCCTTACACCTCTCATCTGACATAATTTCAATACAGGGAATATCTCGTTGATTTAATTGGAATGCCAGGACACTTATCTGAGCCTGATTCCTTGCTCAATGGTCCATCTTCCATCTCATTTTCTTCACCCTTGCGCTTTCCAAGACTCAAACCAGATGAACCTACCATTGATTTCAGGTCACTGGCCAAACAGTATTTCTCGGACTGTCTGTCTCTTGAGCTCGTCTTTGACAACAGTTCAGCAGGTTAGATTCATATTTCCTTTTATTTTATGTATTCTGTATCTGTGAATGCTTTATTGTTGTTTTCACTTCTTGAAATATCCTTATAATGGCCTATTATTGCAATTATTAATAATTTGAGATGTAGTTCTCCCCCTGATCTTTTTTGTTTTAATTTCCATTTTTTTAATGAATGATGAAATCATTTGATTTAAGCTAGGTACTCTGCAATAGGGTTGAGTGCCCAAGAAGACCAAAATTTGGAAGGTTTATGTTAATGAAAAACGGTGGCTGCTACTATACCTCTTCATCTGAGTATGAAGAGTTAGTTGCGTACGTCATAGAGCCATAGATCCCCGGTAGGGGGATGGTCATTAGGAGGAGAGAGTGAGGAGTTAGTTTTTGCAATTATTTTGGCTTTAAGTGTAGGTGAAGAATATATTGTTTCTGAGGAGTAGCATTCTGCTCTGGAGTAGATTTTTTTTTTTTACCTGTCACAGGTCCTGGCTTCAGATAATTATTAAACTATCAGCTTATGGTGTTAAATCTGCCATTTATTGTCATACTCCATTGTTAATTTTCTTAAATAGCTATACATTAGTGTGTTAAAGCTCTCTTTTGAATTCAAAGGTACCCTTTTTGCTGTTTTAACCAGTTTATGTGTCTGTAATTTTGGAAGGTTTATGTTGTAATTTTGTCATTCATGTGTTCTCTATAATTAGTTGACATAATTTTACTAAACTTGTAATTGCAAGAGTCTGCTACAAAAAGCGTCGTGATTTTTTACCTAGATTTTTGTGCTCTATTATGTTCTTTTTAAGTTGGGTTCTGTATTATAGAATTGGGGAACAGATCACGTTAATTGGTCAAGTCTGTTGACTATCATTACAAAATTCTTGTTTTATTGTGATGAACAGGGGTTAACATAATATAGTCTGTCTACAGGATGAAATTTTAGTGAATGTTTGGTAAATTTGCAATTAAGTCAACATCTGGAATAGTGCCAGAAAGCATGTTCTTTGAATGAATGTTCATGCTGCATGCTGGACCTTAGTTGTAGTTTTGCTTGCTATCCTCTAAATTTGAACTAGGTGCCAGTCTAGAATACCCTATATATATTTTTTTGTATGAGTTGTTGCCAATGGAAGTTCTCGATTCTCTATTTCAGAGCAGTTTGATGGGAAGTACAAAGACAGGAATAACCCGAGGCCAATTTCAACAGACAGCAATAGAAATTCCCACCTTCCTCTCCATCCCCAAGATTCTCATCCCAGCACACGTGAACAGTTTTCTGAAACGTATGTACCAGGTAATGCTCCCCAGAACATTGTAGACTCAACCGTGGGAAAGTATCCACCACCAGTAAAGCATAAGCGTCCTGTTGGTATGCCAACCCCCTTAGCACTTACAAATACTAATGATGACATGATTGAGGGCAAGAGGTTTGTTGAAGGAAGTCAACTAATTCCTAGTAAACCTACCCGAGAGCTTACACTTGACATGGAGGATTTGGACATCCCATGGAGTGATCTTGTTTTAAGAGAGAAAATTGGGTCAGGTATATCTCCTCCTTTATAACACAATTTTTGTTTTTAAAAGTCTTGGGGACTAAAGTAGCCATACTATTGGAGAGAAAAAAGAGAATATAACGTGATGATGATAGAAAAGAGGGAAACCAAAAAAAGGAAGCCATCTCAGTTGTGCAGTCTCCAATCCATATGCACTTTTGATCGGGGGCTTTCATAGGGCTTCCTGGCTAGATCACTAAATAAAAAAAAATTCAAAATGTGACATCCAATCGCATATATCACACCAACACAGATATTTCTTCTCCCAAACCAAGTTAATAAGGTCTTCTCCTAACTAGAGGAGCACAGTGTTTAATGAATCAGTAACTTGCTTCTTCTAGTGGTGTGATTTGTGTAAATAGTGTAGGTAGTTATTAAATCGAAAGTGGCTGTTGTATTTCAGGTTCTTTTGGAACTGTACATCGAGCTGAGTGGAATGGCTCGGTAAGCCACCTCTTTATCTCTTTCAAATTGATGCTGTATAAATTGGCCAGCATGTGGTTGTTTGAATTGTTCCTGTTAAAATTTCAGGGAATGAATGAACAAGTGAATAGAGAGAGTAATTGATACACTGGCCCTTAACTAGTTTTCTTCTATTTTTTCTTAATAATCTATGCCAAAGACAGGTATAGTAAAACTATTACAAACAGAAGTCCAGCCCAATGCTACTCCTTACATAGTATTATTAAAGCTAATCCTTGTAGGCTCCGCTCAATGTACATCTAGGACAAGCCCAGCCATCAGTAACAATATACAATTTCTATTTTCTAATTGAGTTGCGCATCAAAAGACCTGGAGTTTATTTGAAAAAATGTCATCTGCCAAGAGGATTAGGTGTCTGTTGCTCATGGAACTATTTCCATCAAACATTTTATTTTCAGCAAACAAATGGAGCCTTAAATAATGTTGCCAGAGTGTTTGATATTTTGGGCTTATGTTCTTTTGTTTCAAGTTTTTTTAGCTATATCTGTGTCATCATTTGGAATGCATATGCGTTGGGGTCATGGGGGTTATATATTCTCAAGGATGTGCATTTTCTAGGATTGCTTCATTGAAGCTTGAAACAGAAATAGTGTTTCACAAACAATTTTCTTATGCTTCCCTCTTCCTTTCAACCCTTTTTATCTTTTAGTTTTTCTGTTCTTACATCCTTCAAAACAATCAATTGCAGGATGTTGCTGTGAAAATTTTGATGGAACAGGATTTTCATGCTGAGCGCTTCCAGGAGTTCCTGAGGGAGGTGCGCTTTACGTCCTAACCGTGCTTCATATATGTGCTATTAGATATTTTCTTGCTGCTCATTTGAGCTTTGTTTTCCCTTTTCTTGTAGGTTACAATAATGAAACGTTTGCGGCATCCAAACATTGTTTTGTTTATGGGAGCAGTCACTCAGCCCCCTAACTTATCAATTGTCACGGAATATTTATCAAGGTTGTACTCCTTTCCCTGTTCTTCATTCTTTTCCTTGAAAGAGTGAAGTTTTTCAAGGCTATAGGATTATAGGATATTTGGACCTTGAGATTCTAAGAGTTTTTGACGGAAGTGCAGGGGTAGCTTATATAGGCTGTTGCATAGATCTGGTGCCAAAGAGGTGTTGGATGAGAGGCGTAGGCTTAGTATGGCTTATGATGTGGTATGCATTTAGAAAATAAACTATTGTTTCTGGTTTTTATTGTTTTTTTAAATCAAAATGTCATAATCTTTGTATTCTTTGATTAACCATGTTATTTTGTCATTTGCAGGCAAAGGGGATGAATTATCTTCATAAACGAAACCCCCCCATTGTTCATAGAGATCTGAAATCTCCAAACCTTCTCGTTGACAAGAAATATACAGTGAAGGTAGGAGTGAAGTTTTCTCTAGTATACCAAATACGAATAGTCTAAGAGTTTCATATAAATCATTTTGTCACCCATGGCAGTAGAATTCCACTTCTCTTGCAGATAGCCTTGTGTTGATAGAACGCTATAATTAGTCACCTATGTTTACATCATTTTTGTTCTAGCATAGCTTGAATGTAGTAAGATGTTATATTTGCTCAGTTGGTAGGTAGGCTGGCTATCTCAGGTTTCTTCTGGGGACAAAGCAACCTTCTCCCACCTGTCCCTTAATTTGTATGTAATCCCAGTAGGAAAATGACACTTGTTCCACATAGCATGACTGACTGCTTTTTTATATTTTCTTGAGAGATGGAGCCAGACGAATAAGCTGTTGATTTGATTTTTTCTTGAAAAAGTAATTAATACTTTTTTTTGGTACATTCTAGTAAAACTTTAGTATTTTGGTTTCACCTGGATACTTTTGAACTGGTGGAACATTGAGTTTATTTCTAAACCTGCTCTATTTTGATAGAAGCTTCAGCCTTCTGCTAATTAGTTGTGCTTGTTTTGGTGCAAATTTGTGAAGTTGTTGAAAAGCCATTTAATATGATAACATGTGCGGTGTGTTGGTAACAATTTGTCTTGGGGAGCTTTATGGGCTGGCGAGTGGGAGGGATTGATCTGCTTTCTTGGACATATATTGAGGTTTCCCCCCTCTAAATGATATTGCCTACTTTGTAGGTTTGTGATTTTGGGCTTTCCCGTCTGAAAGCCAATACATTTCTCTCATCCAAGTCTGCTGCTGGGACCGTAAGTTCTCATTGGCTTCTGATATTTTTGTTTTGTACTTATGTTCGAGAGGTACATTTAATTTTTCTCCTTTTCCTCCCATAGCCTGAGTGGATGGCTCCAGAGGTTCTTCGCGATGAGCCATCAAATGAGAAGTCAGATATTTACAGCTTTGGTGTAATCTTATGGGAGCTTGCAACATTGCAACAGCCATGGGTTAATTTAAATCCAGCACAGGTTTGTTTTATAACTGTTATGCATGAAATATCTGCATGTTTATGCTACTTCTGCTGTAATTATATTGTTTCAGAGCATTTATGAGACTTGTGCTGTGAAATGAATGACCGTATTAACATGTAGTATGAAATTGGAGTAGCATGTAGCGGGGAATACAAATCTAAAAATTATGGCAAGAAATATATACCGGTTGGAGCATGTATTGGACAACTCAGCAATGATGGGTATACTGTTAATGTTAATGTTGTGGCTGAAAGGATGGAGTTTTTGTTTTTCCTTTTTTTTTTACTTGAGTATTACTCCATTTCATGGTGGTCATTCATTTATTATATCATACTTGCTTTGGTTGCATTTGCATACACAGGTATCAGTGTAAAAGGACACTCCAGGTTTAAGGAGTGGTCTGGGCGAAGGGTTCACAAACTATTATGTTTCTACTACATATTCATTTATTTTACTTCAGCGTTGACGAATTCATATTGGCCTGTAGGTTGTGGCAGCTGTTGGTTTTAAGGGAAAAAGGCTTGAGATCCCACGTGATGTGAATCCCCAAGTAGCTGCCCTAATCGAGGCTTGCTGGGCCAAGTGAGTTCAGATGCATTTTTGCCTTTATACATTTCAATTAAATATTCCATCGAAAATGTTTTATTGATATACATTGTTTACTACAGCGAGCCTTGGAAACGACCTTCTTTTGCGAGTATTATGGATTCTTTAAGGCCATTGCTGAAACCCCCTACACCTCAACCTGGTCGTCCGAACATGTCATTACTCAGCTGAATGGTTGGAACACCAAGTTGCTTTTCATGCACATATGACAGGATTTTATCGATCTTGATGTCTAACAAGATTACACTATTTTTAGTTGTCCTAGGTACGTCCCGAATTCCATAAAGGTCTTCTTGCCAACACTAAATCTAGATGGGACCTAGTATTTCTCAATGTTAGCTAGGGCTTTGGGTAAGGGGAATGACCATCGATTTTCTAGTGGAAATATTGATTTTCTCGTTATTATAATTGGAGTTTGGACGTACACAACTTTCTGGTAAGAGAATTAATCATGCCAACCCTAGCTACAACTCAGATAAAAAAATATAGTTAGAGTTTATCTTTATTTATTGTATCCTTCTTGATCGTGTGACTTACCTCGTGGTCAAACTAATGCTTGTTCGTGTCTTTTGGTTGCAGAGTCAATTGTATATTTCTTTAATTCAGGTTTAAGAATACTGATTTCCGACCCAGAGCAAGGATACTCCATCTTTATTGTTCCGACAAAATTGTTTGATTAGGTGATCTTGTAATTTTACTGAGAAATATTTTATTTTTCTCCTTCCATAGTTTTGTATGTAAAAAAAAATTCCCATTGTAATTACATTCAGTTAAATGATAAGCAGCTTTCCCAGCGGTGTTCTACATTTTTTCTTCCTGAACCAATGAATAGACTCTTCTTGAATCAATTCCGTGGTAGGAGTCCTTTCAAACCAAATGGTCCCCCCTTCAAGGTATTATTTTTCTTGGTATTAATGTCTTTCTGCCCCTCGTGCTGGAATGGCACCGGTTATCATACCGAGTCCCACACGACTCAATTGTACCCACGCCACATTTTTCTTTGGTTATAATTGCAACTCATTCTAGAATTTTGAAAACAAAATCCGTTTTTGAGAAAGTCGTATTGCTCTAAATTTAAGCCTAGAACAAAATACGTCTTAATGTACCACTAGAGCTTTATTAAATTATCTACAGTTTAAGTGGATAATAATAAATGTATTTTTATAATATAATTTTACTAAAATTGTCGTTTTCTCAAGTAGTGATTGAATAATTAACAGATATAATATTCAAAATTCATTAAGATTGAGGAAGGTTATGTAAGGGCAAGTGAGGATAGAAGTAATCATAGTACATTGTAAATTCAGAATACAAGTTATATGTCTTGGGACAAATTGTAAATGTTAAAATTTGAGATGAAAGAAGTATACATTATATATTTTCGACCTAAGAGATGTTCGAGTAAGAAATATAAACTTCTAAGTTAACATTCATGTATATATATATAAAAGTTAATCAGTAAATATAGATTTTTATTTTCAATCTGTATACAGATTAATTTGATTTATATAGAAAAAGTATTCATGGAGAAGTTTAAAGATTGTAAAAGAATAATAGTACCATTGAGAATTTGATGATAACGAGTGAGGTATGGATAATGCTTCTTTATTACTTTGTAAAAAAAATGGAAAATGACACTTGAACAACCATTTTTGACAACATTTAGACACGCGCACACGTGTCAAAATCTGAGTGGTCCAGTTGGAAAAATTAAATGAAAATGGACCACTCAGATTTTGACACGTGTGCGCGTGTCTAAATGTTGTCAAAAATGGTTGTTCAAGTATCATTTTCCAAAAAAAATATATCCGTTATCTATTTGTTTCGGAGATATATTTAAAAAATATCTGTCAGTATTTTAAAATATATAAATACTTACAAATATTTAAAAAATATTTTTATAAATTTTAAAATAAAATTTTAATGAAATTATAAAATAATATATAAAATATAATATAAATTAAATTAAATATAAATTAAAATTTAATTTTAATTAAATTTAATTTAATAAATTATAAACTAATTTTAATTTTAATCAAGTTTAATTTCATAAAATATAAATTAAATTTTAATTTTTAATTTTTTGCATGAAATAAACATATGCCGATAAATAATATAATATTTATAAATAGATATTAAAATATTCACTCTCTAACCTACAAATAATAGATATTTATAAATATCAATTATTTATAATGAATTTTATCTACAAACTTGTAAATAATAAATATTTACAAATATCAATTACCAATCCCGAATTTTATCAACAAATATTAGTACAAATATTTTTGCTGCTGGTTTTTCATATCAGACTGCAGTTACATAGGCATAAAAACCAAACGATTTTCAATATAGTTCATTGGCTTTTAATTATCAATTTAAGCAAAGAAATTGTATTTTTTCAGACGTTAATGGGGAGAGAATGAAGCCAAGAGGATCCATGGTAGCAAAATCCCTCTGCAAATTTTATTTAACCCCACAGACACAACTTGTGATGATGAAAGAACAACAAAAAACCGTCGCTACTGCGTACTTGTTATTCTGTGACAACAATCATGAATAAACTGCAATAAAATAAAAGAAAAGCCGGGGGACCCAGGAAAAATCCGCAGAAAAGACAAGAATAGGAAAAAGCAAGTTTACAAGTGTGGTATTGGGTGGTAGAGTTGTCTTGGGCACTAAGTATCTGACTTGACCAGTCGCTGTCAGTGACCACAAAATCCAACCCAAGAAACAGCTAAACAATAGTGCGTGTGACAAAAATATCTACCCAACAACGCGGTCCCAACACACAAACACTGTTCCCCAAGAATCAACCATCCTCAGTTGTAATTGTAACTAACCAACGTAACTGCCACGAAACAACCCAACCTCAACCTCAACCTCAAATATTAATCAAAGTCGGCACTCTCACAGTCACACTTTCACTGTGCAATGGCCCTCCTTTGCCACCGCCATTCCTCCACCCTCCACCGCCCTCGCACCCCTTTAATAGCCCCTTTCTTACCCTCCAAACTCCACTCTAAACCTCTCTTATTATTCCTTAATTGCTCTTCACAATGAACCCCACCGATGACAACTCTCCCAAGCCCTTAGAGGTTCTGCAGATGAACCCGGTTCCGCCGTTTCTGTCCAAGACCTTCGACCTCGTCGATGACCCCACTCTCGACCCCATCATCTCCTGGGCCTCCTCCGGCTTTAGCTTCGTCGTCTGGGACCCTCTGGAGTTCGCCAGAGTCGTCTTGCCGCGACATTTCAAGCACAACAACTTCTCCAGTTTCGTTCGCCAGCTTAATACTTATGTGGGTATCTTCGCTCTGCTTTCGTTCCGCTACACATGGCTGCTTCCCTTTTATCTCTTTGTAACTCTTCTTTTGCTTTTGGCTTGTGGGTCCTTATGTAAGTTACTTTGTGCTGTTTTCTTTGGGTGTTTTTTGTAATTTGGATTAGATTGACTTCTTGTATGTACTTTGATTTGACAAGTTGATGTATCCACTGGGGTGTGAGAATGTAAATAAAGTTGAAATTTTGACGTATTCTTTTTATGGTGTGTTGTGTTTCTTAAATATTTAGTATGGTTTCTTTGCTTGCTTGCATGGATTTTCTGAATGCGTGCGTGTTTGTAATGGATGAGTGTGTAGTGTATTTGTGCGGATAAAGAGAGTGAACCTTAGTTTTTCGTAAGGCCTGGTTTTGTTTTGTTCCAGCCCCTGATGGCATTAGAAAGTGTTTTTATAGTGAAGAGCGTTTCTGTTTTTTGTAAATTTTTCTCCTGAGTGCTTCAATAGATAGTACTTGGAACAAAACAAAAAAGATGGGGAACATCGGTTCCTATTGTTTGCATTTTGGTTTGTAAAACCTCTCCTTGTTTTAGAACAATTTTTAACTTCAAAGATTTTGGATGAGAAATTGATTTCTTGGTCGTGTCAAATTGATTTGGAAAAGAGTTTTTAAAACAGAAAGTGAAAAGAATCAAACTATCCCTAGGTTATTTGCTTCTGTTTTCTCCTTTGTTAAAGGCAGAGTTAAGATTGTAGGGCACTTCAAATCTAACTGACTGGTAGAGGAACAAAGCGAGAAAAAGGAAACGAATGTAGTTATAATAGGTAATGTGATGTGATAGAAAGAGAGATGGAGATAATGACAGATAGATGTTAATGAGGTATATGAAACAACGGAGTGTTGACATATCATGACTCTAAAATTTTAGTCTACAGAATCTGCCCATTGTAATAGCTGCTATCTTGAGATGTATTGTTGCGAGTCTTGTGTGTTATTTTGAGTTTGCTTATTGCTGTTACTAATGGAATTGAGTAATATGAGTATGGTTTGGATTTTTACTCATTGAATTGTAGTTAGGATTGAGACTTGAGAGATTACCACTACTACTACTACTGGAAGTGACAACAGGAGAAATATTCTCCCTCCTCTAGAAGGGATTTCATCTTCCACAGGTAGTTCTCAAGGTTCTTTGGGGCATGTGTCATTTTGACTTTTTCCTTATCTCTGTGCAAAGCTTGCTCTGAATTTATAGAATACATACTCCAATATAGCTTCCTCTCTCTATCAGCTCATAGTGCTTAAGTTTTGGTGTACCTAAACCATATGTATATCTTGTTTTCCCTTGCTAATATTTATTCCATTTCCCCCCTCATTATTGTCTTGGGGTCTTCTGCTTCTGCTCCATACATTCTCAGGTAACTTGGTGTTTGTCTCCAGGGATTCCGGAAGATTGACACGGACAAGTGGGAGTTTTTCAATGAAGCATTCCAGCGATCGAAGAAGCACTTGCTGAAGAACATACAAAGACGTAGATCACCACAATCCCAGCAGGTTGGTAGCTATATTGGAATTGGATCTTCTACCACTGAGGCAGGGAGGTCTGAGGTTGAGGTTGAGGTTGAGATAGAAAAGCTTAGGAAAGAAAGGACTATCTTGATGGAAGAAGTGGTTGATTTGCAGCAAGAGCAACGAAGAACTGCTAACCGTGCAGGAGAAGTGAATCAAAGACTGCAATCTGCAGAACAAAGGCAGAAAAAAATGGTTTCTTTCCTGGCCAAGTTGATCCAAAACCCAGCCTTTTTAGCCCGCCTAAGGCAAAAGAAAGAACAAAGAGAAATAGATTCTCCAAGAGTGGTAAGGAAGTTTGTCAAGCAGCACCAACATGAAACTGGAACAGCAGAAGCTCTCCAAGAAGGACAGATAGTGAGGTACCAACCTGATTGGACAAATATAGACATGTCTTCTGAATCTCCAAAACTAAGTCCAGTTTCCATTGAGCAGTCTCCTCACTACCTTTCACAGGGTTTGGCGGGAGAAATGAGTGGAGGTGCACAAGATCTCACTGTTCAAATTCAGAATATTGTAACAGATGATTTGGCTGCAGTGCACAGGATCACATCACCTCAAGAAAAGATGATTGGAGAAGGATCATCTGAAGACCTCCTTGTCAAAGGGAAGAGTGTTATGAGCCCTAGTCTAGAACTTCCTCCAGATTATTTTACTTCCTTCCCAGAGGTTTTGACCCAGGAGAAAGGCTTTCAAGATTTTTCTGCTCTTGGAGCTGAAGACATTATCAAGCTTGAAGATATATGGGATACTGGCCTCAATCTTAGTGGTGTTGGTGCTGGTTCAAGTTGTGGGAATGAGCTGTGGGGAAATCCTATGAATTATGAACATGTTCCAGAGTTTGGAGTAACAAGTGGCATGTCTGAGTCAGACATGTGGGATATTGGCTCTGGAAGTTTGGGAATTGATAAGTGGGCAGGTGATGAACCTTCTGTTGGTGAACTAGATGGTCAATC